GCCACCACCTCCTTCACCGCCGAGTTAACCTTCATCATTGAAGTGATCTCCACCTGAATCGAAAACAGAGGCGATGACACTGAAGGTCGAAGGAGAATACAAACCCAAAAGATGTCATGCATGCTTGGATTTGAACTCGTATGAACCTTCATCATTGAAGTTATCACCATCGCCGCCATCAATCGCCGCCTGCAGCCGTCAATCGTCGCCTGCCGCCGTCAATCGTCGCCTGCCGCCATCCTTTAATTGGATTTCTTCATTTTCGAACCCTTAAAGATCTGTGTTGCTTCGAGACTAGAGTCAGAGATCTCTATCGTTCCTGTCGCGGCAGGTGCGTTGTGCTCGCCGTCGTCGGTCGCTGCCAGCTCGTTAATTGGTTGGAGGCAGAGGGGGGGGGGGAGATCAGAGGATTCAGCTGTGTTGTGCTCGCCATCGCCGGTCGCCGCTTTGTTAGTTGGTTGGAGGGAGAGAGAGGGTGGAAGATCGGAGGAGTCAGGGAGAAGTGAGAAGTGAGAGGGCAAAAGAGAGAGAGGGAGTAATTGAGGAGTCATGGAGAAGTGAGAAGATAGGGTAAATTGAGGCCTCCATTCGTTTTGCCCAGCGGCAGGAGCCAAAACGCAAGAGTTAGGTAGGCCAAAATGCAAAGAGCTGGCAGTTTCGATTTTGGGGGGAAAATCCGAACCGAACCGAGTTATAATTCGGTTAGGACAGACCGAACCGAATTATAATTAGGTTTCAATTCGGTTTGACTTGTGGATGGAATCGGAACCTCGATAATGGTCTGTTCTGTTCGGTTTGAACCGAACCGACCGAATGCCCACCCCTATTTTGAAGTGCACGGATAGAGCTTCCGACCCCCCTTAATTTCATTAACCCTCCACATGAGTTGAGGAAAAGGAGTTAAAAGAAGTACTCTGGCGAGTGCCAAATGTACAGAAATTGCTCTTGCTCGACTAATAAGGGTTGACAGTACAGACGACTGCAGTTGGAACCCCCACCAAGTGAAAAAAAAAAAGAAAAAAAAAAGAAGGTGAAAAAGGGGTTCCAACGGTGAAATGAAGTGAAAGAGCACCCGTGTACAATGAGTCCTTGGTTGTGAATGGTGTGAGCCCCTTTACCCATGAACTGGTTGTCTTACTTCCACTTCTTCTCATGATCCTGGTTTGAGTCTAGTACTCGCATTGAGAGAGATAGGAGACGTCTTAGAAGACCAGTTGACCTCGTAAGTTGCTATATAATCTAGAAAATCCTCTACCGACGATCGGAGTTGTTTGTTGCTATAGAGGTCTGGAGAGCTTCATTGGTTTGAGTTAGGTTTGCTTGGGGCCAAGCAAACGGTTAAGTGTGGGGGAATTTTGATAGACCATAGATTGCACATATTTCTACCTACATTCTTGAGCCGTTTGAGATATTGATTCTCGTGTTTTAAGTCGATTTCACGTTAGGTTGTGTATTTATGCCATATTTCAGGACTTGGCATTGACGTGAAGGCGAGGAAACGAGTTTCGGGTCGAAAAGGAGGACATGAGAGTGAAGGGCGCTGGAAGAGCAGAATACCCGGCCAGGAGTTAAAATACCTAGCCGGGTAATCTGCAAAGAGAGGCCGGGGATTTCACGTTTAGGACGACAGAGATCCAGGAGGGGTCCCGACCGGATGGCTAAAATACCCGATCGGGTATTCTGACCCTTGATCAGGTATTTCCCTTTCCCCACTGCGCAACGTTTAAAAATACACGGCCGGGCACCTGAAATACCCGACCGGGTATTATGACCAGGGATAGCGACCTGCTACTTTTTAAGGGAAAGAAGGCCAATTTTGCAAGGGTTCCGAGTTTTAGAGAAAGAAAGTGATACCTAGAGAGAGAAAGTGACGAAGCAGAGTTTCCAAGCGCCTTAGATCGATCTTCATCATCAGTGGATCCCGGATAACGCTTGGAGAAGTGCCGATTGACGACCAGAAGCAGAACCCCATCCTTCACAGCATGTTTTCTGCTTCTGAGCTAGAGTTTGCTTCTCTCTCCATGGAGTAACTTCCACATTCACCTGGGTATGAAGAACCCTAGACTTGTATGTTAGGTCTGATTGTATGAACCTAAGTTTGAATCCATTGACTTGATTATATTCAATTGAGGTTTGATTTCTTGAATGACATGAATCCTAATCAAATTCCTCTGTTTTCTGCTTTGATCTAGAAAGAGAATATCTGCCTAGGTTGATAGAGCACACTTGATTGAAGGTAGTGAATTGACGAATTTAGTCGAGGAGTCATGTAACATCCTGTTCCAGCAAAACCCATATTTCGATCGCTAGAAAGTTCACGATTTAAAATCGAGCATTTTGATAGTATTTTTGCAAATATCGGATTATCGATCAATCGGATAAGTATACGTATTATATATATATGTAAAAGCGGTCAGACCGCCTATATATAATCCTTCCTTCCCTGTCCATTTTAATTCTCATCATCTTCTATTTACACCGAGAGAAGCAAAAAAACCAGAGCGACCAGAGCCGCGCACAGGGGAATTCCTGGGAAACTTTCACAACTTGATTCTTGAGCTCTAGTGATCCAAAAATCCCGTAACTAATGCCTAATTCATCTGTACATTGTGATTTATCGATTTAGAGCTTTAAAATGAGTTTTTGGTTCAGGAATTTCTTGAATTCCCAATAAACCAAATTAGGGTTTCGGAGTATCCGGAAGCCAGATTGAGCCCAAATTTCATATACGAGCTTCCTGCAGCGAGGTAATCAATCCTCTAGTTCTAATCCATGAATTTTGGCTATTATTTAGGTCAGAGCCGGGATCGCTGAATTTAGCTCCGGCCAGGGTTTGATGTGTTTTTATCAAGAATTTGACTCGGAGTCTAGAACTAATATTGACGGGGATACTGCAGGGGATATTAGGTGGTCTCGGATTTTAATTCGGGGTTCGTTCGTGAAATTGATGTTTTAGTACGGGAAGGTTAAACCAGTGTTTGAACGACCAGAACTGGTGAGGGATTAGCACGGCATACTGGGTTTGTCGTATCACGATAATTATATTGATGCTTAGAATTGACCAGGTGAACTAGAATGGCATGATTAGGGGTGTATGGACTTTTTTGCTATACGATGAACTCTGGATGCTGTATGATATTATTGACTTGCCCTAATCGATATGGACCTTGTTTATGTTGATGATTGCATACATGTTGCCATTTGTGGCTTAACTGTTGATATGACTTCATGATTGTTCGATAAGGTGTTTTAACATGGTGTAATATTATGGTTGTATTTGGATCCATAAGTGGGGGAATAAACTTCCCAGGGTGATATTATGATGTTTAAGTAGGATGACTTGCACGAGGGTTCATCCCGAGGAAGTGCAATTATATGACTCCTGTTTTACCTATGTTGAGCTACGTATGGCCAGGTCAAGTACATGTGCAAGTAAAGAATTATGATTAAGCAAGATGAGATATGGATCATGTATGAGATTACCAAATAAGAGTGATTTGGTCTCATGGTCAATTATATAGTAATTAGGGCTCCCCATGCTATTGCTTCGTTATGATATGTTATGTCACACCCCTGATGTGGTGTTGGCCGTTGATTCATCATGAGATATGACCACACCCAGAGTGGTGTCAGGTCCGATATGACTACACTGACAGTGGTGGGTCCGATATGATCACATCCACGAGATGTTTGGTCCGTATTCCCGGGAGAGTAATTAGCATGGGAGTAGCCAGGCGCCTATGATTAAAACATGATAAGATGCATATGCATAAGTCAAGGTGGTTGAGTTTTTTGCCTATTGAGATATGCAGATGGCTGAGGTCCGATCCTAGTGTTTTGGCTTGATTGTTAGATGTATGATAGGGGTATGCTCTGTTATGAACTCACGATGCTATGATTATCTCACTCAGCTATGAGCTGACCCTCTTTTATTCTTCCTCTCTACTTATGCTATGTGTAACAGATCATCAGCAGCAACAATACATAAGTGTTAGGTGGGAGAGGAGCTAGAGTTGAAGCCAGGATGAGGTATGGTCTTCAACTATTCTGTGCTTGGACTACTACTCGGGATTTTGGCAAGTGATCCACACCTTTTTGTAAAAAATGTTTTGAGAACATTTTCATGTGCATACTAGCTTCCGATGTAGTGTGAGATATCCACAGGCGTGGAAGGTTGATGATATGTGTATATGTTGTGTAACTGTGTAAGTTGTGACGATTATAATATGTATAAGTATGGTATGCAGTTGTGGAGTATGAAAAGTGTGACTATGGCTAAGAAAAGCCAATGCATATGGTTGCGAGTATATATGTTTGTGATGAGTTATTTTGTAGGATAAGTTGCAAGAACTGTTAGCCCATTACGCGAGTAATTCATGTCGAAATTTTATTTGGGTAAATTTTGATAATTAATGTAACACCCGAGATTAATTCCGCTGCAATTGTATGAACAATATGGTTAGGCAAAACGTATAGGGTAGGGTGTTACAAGTCAATTCACTATTTTGTATCGGATTTACTTCGGTAGAGGAGGTTTGGTTCGTTAGGGCCTCAATCTGTTTACTCTAGTGGAGGTTAGTCGCCCGCTGTGGACTCAGATTGAGAGGGTCTGAAGACCTTTAGTCGAGTCTGCAGACTGTTTAAGAACCTCCCGCAGTATAACTATCATTGAACTTGAACTTGGTAAATTACAACCTGGCTTAACTACAGTCTAGGGGGAACCATATCCGGGTGACCTATTTCAACTTGAAAACAACCTTTTACTGCTTTGCTTGTTTGTTTGATTAGACCTTCACTACATTTTTATTGCTAAGTAATAAGAATTCGCGGAGTAGTCATCACACCTAGGACCCGGGTTGACATTTAAACCCAAACCCGCTATACTACGCACTAGTAGGTGGTTGCGCTTGTCAATGTTCTAGTGTGACGGTAAAGGCGAGTCAACGACGATGATGGTGACGACTTTGACGACAAAGGTTCGTTTTGCTTCAAATCCAAGCATGCGTGGTTTGTATTCTCCTTCGAGCTTCATTAGTATCGTCTCTGTTTTTTATTTAGGTGGAGATGAAACTAGCTACAGTGGGGAAGAGAAAGCGGTGAAGAAAGGAAGAAAGGTTGATGGCAAAGGTGCCGGTGAGGGTGGAAGAGAAGACGACGAAGGTTATGGCTTGATGGCGTCGGTCGTCCCCGACGGGGCAGGGGAATGGGGGGCGGCGGCGACTGTGTGGTAGGACAAGATGGGCTGATAGGGGTTGGGACTGGGCTAGGGTTTGTGGGATGAGTCAATGGGTTGGGATTGGGCTAGGGTTTCAATAAGAAAAGGGCTTGTGGGCTTGAGTCTTGGGGTTTCTGACATAATGTATATTGTTGGGTCATATTTAGGGTTTTCAGTTTGGTATTCGTACCTTCGATTAGCCTAATAGAATCCTGATTTCCAAATTACGAACCGAATAACAAAAGTTAAGTTTCTATTTAATTTGGTTTTGGCTCAGTTTAGTTTGGGTTTACCGAACCGGATGTCCACCCCTAGCTTATGATGACTTATGGTATATAAATACATGTATGACTATAGCCGAACACAAGAAACAAAAAAACAGCAGGTTTTTATGTGGACTTAAGTCGAACACATTGTGAGGAAGAACCACATTGTAAGGTCCAGCTTTATTGTCCTCTTTCGCCATCAATCATGAGTCTCAAAGACGAGAATGTCTCATCCGGTTGCACTTTCGCAAGTCCTAAGAAGGTTTTCCTTCTATTTATCTATTGTCGATCTCAGATAACATGTTGGTTGGAGATATTTTAACGTTGTCAAGTTATGGAGAATGGGTTCTTGACATGAAGAATGCCCTCATCGCCAAGAACCAGTTTGGGTTTGTAGATGCTAGTCTTTCCAAGCCTAATATTCCGACGGAGAAGGATGCTTGGATCCGATGCGACGCCATGGTGAAAGGTTGGTTGAAAACCGCCATGAGTAAGGGAATTCAGAACAGTATTCGCTTTCTCGAGAGTGCTATTAATATCTGAGTCTATCTCCGTCAGCCCTTCGGTTAAGGAAGCACTTCACGGGTGTACGAACTCCGGAGGCCGATGAATATTGAATCCCTATTCAAAGCATCAGCTATTGAAGAAGAATGCTCAACCTCGAAATTTGAGCCTCACCTAATGATCCTCATAAATTTCACTAACTCAACTAATGTTTTCTCATGTTTTTACCTAGTTTTCACATACCAAAATCATGCATATAAAATGGCGTCCAAAATAAATTCCAAATTTCACTAAAAATAAATTTGATTTCCTAATCCGAATCTCAAAATAATTTGTTTTGATATTGGTATATACAAGTAGGGCTTCACATGAGCTGAGCTGCTCGCGAGCGGCTCTATTCTCGACTCTGAAAAAACTCATTCGAAAATCAACTCGTTTATTAACGAGCCAAGCTTGAGATAAGTCTTATGCAGCTCGCAGAGCTTGCGAGCTAACTCGACTCGGTGACTTGTTGAGTTCAACTCATGAGTTGGCTCGTTTAGAGCTTATGAGATGTCTCAACTATCAACATTGTGGCTAGAGAGTCCACTCGATTACCGACTTGTGAGTAATTGGATCTATACGAGTTAACTCATAGGATTGTTAAATTATATATGTCACCCTATTTGAAGTTTGACACATAAATTATGTGAGCAAATATGTGTTATTTAATTTTAAAAACAAATTATGTATCATAAATTGCTTCGATACTATGAAATAACATAATTTTGACTACATAAAATTTATTAACTAAATAATATGATACCACAAAGTATATCATGAGATTAGTTCATATTAGTTAATATTGAACACTTTACTATTATTATTTTTTCATCTTGACATTAACCACATGTATCATAAATGACATACAAAATGAATAATGAATATATCAAATAAGAGTCAAGATTTTTGTAAGCAAGTTAGCACGAACTCAACTCGATTTGGCTCGTTAATAAACAAGCCGAGCTCGAGCTCGACTCGTTAATATAACATACCCCTATATACAAGAACAAAATTAATTATCTTCATAGTTAACAATCAATCCATCCATTAACTGCATGCGTATGATGAATAAGAACTACTACGTTGAAGCCCTCGCAGCCACATGTTGGAATTGGGCTTTGTAGTCGTACTCGTACGGGCTTCTAAGATGTCAAAACTGGGTCAAACTGTTGGGTCATTTTCCTAGTTACCCATTCAACAAATGATTGAATGACTTTTTTTTCTTCTTTTTTCTTGGGTTTGCCAATGTCCAAGTTGCGTGCTTTGACTACGACTTACCGTACCTACTTGCGCTTTACGACACTTACCTTGCTAAGGACTAAGGAGCAGAACGAAGGAACTTGATGGGTGAGCCACGACGCTTTTAAAATTTTGGAGAAAATGATTCATCCCGATAGTAGTTTGATATTATATTATCCATTGCACTACAATTAAGTTGTTATTACAATCAAAACATAATTGCGTATTCGCTAATATAAAGTCCAATTTAACTTCAATTTTCTCATTTTTTCCATCCAAAAACTAAATTCTTGATCCCCACCCGTATGATATTGACGAAGCAATGTAAAATAACTAGCGAAACAGTTTGAGAGTTGACTCCTATTCTTTAATCATTCACGTGACACCCCCTACCCCTCTAGTCGGGTCGTCAACGTTCAACCTCTACTGTCGTCATCATCTGTCTATTTGTTTCTCAAACTTGTATTAATTTTACCAGTTACCGCCGTAAATATCGACAAAACTTTTAAGACTTTGAGTTATATCATGAACAAATTTTGGAATCTTATACACAATCTATTCATGAATGACTGTCTAATAAGATATATAATGAAAGAGATCTGTTATATTTTAAAAAAAATTTCAAAAATATAGAAGCTCCTCGTGCTACTATTTTTTGTAACCTAATAACCTATACCACTAGTAGTATACTTTTTTAATATAAGAATATAGTTCTTACTTATGAATTTAATTATTAAGGAAAACACCCACTAAATAAAATCAATGGGTCTGCTCAAATTTAAATTATATAATATATGGTCATATCAGCATGTGCTTCCAAATCCATCATTTTTCATTCTCGAACACTTGTTTTAACGGTCAGACTCGAGCACAGTTGGGACCCTTATCCGACGTGTCTCTTGCAATAGTCCTTCAAGACTGCTTGCCTTATTGCAAAAACGGTCAACTAACTCTCCTCACCTTCCTCGCTCCTCTCCTCCATCTCCCTTTCCTCTCTCTATAAAAACACCACCATAGGCTTGCTGAGCTGTGAACCAACCAACCAACCAACCATATTATTAGTTACATTGCCTCTTTAATTTCTCATACCACCAAGAATACTTTCTCGTTCGTTTCTTTGCTTTCCTGGACTCTTTTATACAATGGCAATCGCTACCAAGGGTGAAAGCCGTCGTGGAGACGTGAAGGTTGTGCTCATCGACACAAGGTACGTCGTGACGGAGCCCGAAAGCTTCAAGTCGGTGGTTCAGAGGCTCACGGGGAAGGACTCCTGCGTTTCATGGATCGAGGAGGCGTCTTTCACCGGCGCCGCTACTTCAAAGCGAAAGAGGCCGTCTCCCTCTAGGGTACTCAGCAACGACGACGATGCTGTAGTAGCGGCACCGCGTTTGGCTGCTGAGAGAGGTGGTACCGGCGGCGGCGGTGGAGGTGGGAGTTCCGGCGGGGATTGGCGGTTGTCGAAAGGGATGTCGTTCAAGGACTTGGACCGGATGATGCTAGAGATACCCGCGGCTGAGGAGCTGCGTCAACTGTGGAGCCAAGTATAAGCGTAAAGCGCTTGTTACAGTAAATGTAGTTTGGCGGTATGCTTTGTGTATACGAAACGACATCGTTTGTGATGGATTGATTGGTGATGAATATACACGTTCCTTCATTTTTTTTATACTAAATTACTAATTATCTAGGCTGCTGTGAGTTTCCACATATGATATTTTTGGGCTGCTGTTCATTTTTTTTATTACGATATTTTCCTTCATAAAAAGGAAAAAATTAAAAACCAAGTGAGCCAAAGACACACGTGGGAGATTAAATGGGATACCCAAACGATCGAGGGAGGGAAGGAAATTCGTCAACTGTGAGCTGTTTGATTCTCTTTGTTTGACTGCTGACTTTGGACCTAACCAAATAAGAAACCGATGTTTATGATGAAAATTAAAGGCAAAATATATGAGTGGTTTCGCGGCAATTGCCAAGAGGGATTTGATTGACTGGTTATAATTTGAGCAGCTAGGCAACGGGACCAGTTTCATTGGATAATTTATACATGAAAAGACCGGGCCCAAAAGAAAGTGGCCCAAATAACGTTTTACGAAATTAGTTTTATAAGTTGGAGCAATAAGGCCCAACCCAAACCCAGTTGTGAACTAACTTATCGATCAATCGAGTTAAGCCCTTTGCTCCTTCTCAACTCTTTGACCACCATTCTGCTACCCGAAATCCGAGGAAGAAGGCTCAACCCCTTGGAGAGGAAGAATCAGGCCGCGAGATTGGAGAAGGTGGAAGTGGCGAGTGAGGTTAGTCTGGCGATGCAATTTGTTGGAGCCAAGGGAGGAGACGGGGTTGCAACTAGATTAGTTTCTTTTCTTCATTTTCTTGTTTTAAATATTAATAAATAATAAAGTTGAAACTTGAAAGTAATAAATTACATGTAATTTAATTGGGATTGGGGATGGAGTCAATGTGAATTTCTTTGAAGATAATTGGTTGTTGATTTGTTGTTCGGTCCTATACAATATCAACACTCGTGGACTATGAACCAAACGGAGGACTCTATAAAAGTATCCGATTTCATACTCTCTCATGGTGCTTAGGATCTCAATAAGTTGGTTGCTCTTGTCCCACTTGAAATGGTAAATGTCATTTCTGCGATTCCCCTCCCACTTCACTCGAACATCAACGATCGTTTCAATTGGTTTGCCGAACACTGATGAAAAAAGACACTACTAATATAAACGGGTCCAATTAGTGCTTCGATCAACTAAATGCATCGCCGTCTCTCTAAACATTCCATCGAATTCATCAACTAGCTAACCTCCTCCATTTCTATTGTTACGCCATAGCAAACTTGTTAAACCCCTATCGAACCCCCGATTTGACTCGGTTCAACCTGAGTCAAGCTTGAAAACGGTTTTCAGAAAGGCCCTCGGTCTGACCCCGAAAGAGGGAGAAGAAGAGAGGGGGAAGAGAAGAAGAGGAACGGAAGATGGGTGGGTCATGGAGGTTAGGTAGATTTATTTTGTGGAAAATAAGTTTTTAATAGATATATGTAAGATAAATTTTATTTTAGTCATTAAATCTTCAATTACTACCTTATTTGTATATATATTTAAAAAACGTCTAAAACAACTCAAACCGGCCGGACGCCGATCATACCGTTAAACCTCAAACCCCTTAATTATTGACCGGCTCAATGACTTACATCGGTTTGAAAACCTTGCGCCTGAGCAATTTTCGGAGGTGCAAATATGAAAAGCGCGACTGTTGTTGGTTTGCCGAACGCGGATGAAAAATACGCTACTTATGTAAACGAGCCCAAATAGCTGCCCGACCTACTAAACACTCAACCACCGCGCTTACTTTCGCTGCACCTAATATACTACTAAAATGAGAAAGGTACTTCACCCTTTACAAAATCCTTGCATCCATAGCGAAAGTAGAAAGTATTGATTCGTCTTCATAGTCATTTAATATTTTCTTATCTAGAGGGAAAAATACTTCAATGATTGGATTAAAACTGTTGTCTCTTTGAAAAAACACAAGAAACATAACCAGTTACAATAAACAATTTTTTAAATCTTTATAAATAAAAAACATACAAGAAGCTTATATCTAAAAAAACTATCTGTATATCTTTTTCACCATGGTAAACTAACCCACAGACTCTCTCATAAATATTCTTTTGTTATTTGATACTTCTATTTTCATATTTTGATTATTTTAATTCGAATCTAATAATTAATTCTATTTTATTTTTATAAAAGAAGAATAATTTTAAAATCGCAACCCTAACGTCATTGGTTCAAATATTGCATATCGAATTACAGTATTGAGTGTGTAGAAGCGATGCAGATTCTTAACATAGACTTAAATTTTATAACTATCATAAAAAAAACAATATTTTTGAACACAGAAGTTTTAAGTGAATATGGAGCACATGTGTCTTTAAGAGAGGGGTAAATATAGAAAGATTGAGTGATGTTGGTTTGTTGAACGCGGATGGAAAAAGTGTAACTAATGTAAACGGGTCTAAATAGTGTCCCGACCCACTAAAGGATCAACCATCGCCATCTCACCAAACCTTCCCATCGGACTCGCCAACTGCCTAACCTCCTCCACCTATAATTTTACGCCATAGCAATTTTTGAAGAGGTAAATATGGAAAGGTTGAGCGTTCTTGCTTGGAGAGCTGATAATGACTGATGGGTTATTTACTTTCTTTAACAGTACTGTGTGATCTCTTAACCATCAATTCATTTGGTTGCTTTTCTAGGTTGACCTTTGAGTTGATTAAAGATACATAGCTATACTTTTGTTGCTTTTGTTATGCTACTCCTTTTCAGTATCATCATTTTCCTTATTTGTAATGTTTTTGTGGTTAATTTCCAGTAAACAAAGATTATTCTATTTAGTGTTAACATAGGGAATAGCTTCAAGCATACCACTTTTACATATATTTTATATGTAGGAGCTGAGATCGTTACCGAATTAAACTATTCAAACTATAATGCTTATCTTCAACATATAATGTCATAACCGGGCAGCTCAATAAGTACGATATTGTCCGCTTTGGGCCGAGCCCGCACGGTTTTACTTTCGGGTGTCCTCCCCAAAAGGCCTCGTACTAATGAGATTGGTGGACACTAATATACAAGGGTTCTTTCCCTTATATAACCGATGTGGTACTTGGATTGTCCCATAACAATCCTCCCCTCAAGCCAAGGACCACGAACATCGTGTCCTCACCTCAGCGATTATCTTGATCCGCCAGACACCTTGTACGATGGGCTTCTCGTACAAGGATTTTCCCAGACGCAGATCTCTCTTTGATCTGCTTCCCAGACGCGGAACTCTCTTTGATCCGCCAAACAGACGTGGATCTCTCCACCAGACAAACGCGGACCTCCCTCGATCCGCCTGATGAGCCCAAACATGGATCTCTCGTGGATCCACCAAACCAGACGCAGATCGCAAACCCCGAGGTCACCGGCTGGAAAACCGCCCCGGACCGAACCCGGCTCTGATACCACTTGTCATAAACGCACTGCTACGGATCGGGAAAACCGTCAGAATCGATAAAGCAAGAATACGAACTTGTAGAAATCGGGGCGCTCAATTAGTACGATATTGTCCGCTTTGGGCCAAACCTGCACGGTTTTACTCTTGGGTGTCCTCCCCAAAAGGCCTCTTTCTAATTGGGCTAGGTGGACACTTATATACAAGGGTTCCTTCCCTTGTATTACCGATGTGGTACTTGGATTGTCCCATAACAATCCTCCCCTCAAGCCAAGGACCACGAACATCGTGTCCTCACCTCAGCGATTATCTTGATCCGCCATACACCTTGTATCGATGGGCCTCTCGTTACAAGGATTTTTTCAGACGCGGAACTCTCTTTGATCCGCCAAATCAAACGCGGATCGCCTTGATCCGCCAGGTGAGCCCAAACGTGGATCTCTCATGGATCCACCAAGCCAGACGCATATCGCAAATCCCGAAGCCACCAAATGAGGGTCCACCAAACTGACGTCCACCGCCCCGCACCGAACCAGACTCTGATACCACTTGTAAGAACGGGGCCTGCTCAATTAGTACGATATTGTCCGCTTTGGGCCGAGCCCGCACGGTTTTACTCTTGGGTGTCCTCCCCAAAAGGCCCCGTGGTATCAGAGCCGCGGCTGGAAATCAGGCTAGGGTTTTCGATTCAGAAGAATGACGTCGGTGAACATGAAGATCGAAAAGTTCACGGGGAAGAACAGCTTCGCTATATGGCAGATCAAGATGCAAGCTTTATTAAAACAGCAAGGGCTGTGGGGGCTGCTGTCTGCGAAACAGAAGAAGGCAGCGGTCGATGACGATGAGTGGAATACCCTGGAGGAGAAGGCCCACTCGACCATCATGCTATCGTTGTCTGATGACGTCATCATTGAAGTCGCTGCTGAGAAGACTGCCGCGGGCTTGTGGTTGAAACTAGAGAGTCTGTACATGACTAAGTCTCTAACCAACAAGCTGCATCTCAAGCAACGGTTGTTCATCTTGAAGATGCAAGAAGGTACGCCTTTGAGGGAACATCTCAAACAGCTTAACTCTATTTTGCTGGATCTGCGTAATATAGATGTTCAAGTTGATGACGAGGATGCTGCCCTAATCCTGCTGGTTTCTTTGCCCGAGTTCATATGAGAATTTCGTTGATTCTTTTATTGCTGGTAAAGAAAGCGTGTTGTTGGAAGATGTCAGGTCTGCTCTTCATACGAGAGAGATCAGACATAAGGCGTCTGGATCTGGTACAGGTGGTGAGGCATCGGGTTTGGCTGTTACAGGTGGAAAGGGAAAGAAGAAATCTGGTAAAGGGAATTCGAACAAGAATTCCAAGGGTCCCGGTCCACAGCCAGGTGATGCTTGTCACAACTGTAAGGAAGTGGGGCATTGGAAGTACAACTGTCCCAAGAGAAGAGGGCAACAGAAGAAACAAGGTTCAGTTGCCGTGGCAGAAGTGGACAACAGTTCTGAAGACGATCTCGCCTTGGCTGTAGATGAGAAGGCACATCGTGGGGATGTGTGGTTTCTGGATACTGCAACCTCATACCATATGTCTCCGAACAGGGATTGCTTCACAACCTACGAGCAGATAGATGGCGGTAACGTGGTCATGGCTAATGGAGCTGTCTGCAAGGTTGTTGGAATCGG